TTGCTGTGATTTTGTTTTGTTTGGAACACACACACACACCCATATCCAGGTGCACCTGCTCATTTTCCCCCATCATTCTAGAACACATGACATGACATTCATGCTATGTTTTTCCCTTGGTATGAATTCAAGTTCCTTACTTCCCAAGTATCTTGATTTTTTTCTTTCTTTCTTTTTCTTTTCTTTTTTTTGAAGCACTTGTTGAAACATTTGTTGGTACATTTTAGATATACATGATGATAACACTCACCACGGGGAGTTTGCACATGATATATGATATATCATGATATATCCTGCCTCTTTTTTCCCATCCCTCTGACCCCCTCCCCTACCTACATACAAAAGCTGTGTTTCCATTTTTTCCTTCTATTTTCACTTCTTTTGTGTCCCTTCCTTCCTTTCCCCCTCCCCTCCCTGTTGTTCCTTTTCCCATTTGAACATTTCCTTCCCATTTCCCAATATCAGTAGATACATTTTAGTCCTTATTTCCGTTTTCAGTTCTCACACCAGAGAAACAATGCGGTATTTAAACATGTGTGTCCCATTTATCTCATTTACAAATATGGTCTCGAGGTTCATCCATTTAGCTATAAATGTCTGAAGCTCATCCTTCTGTATGAATAGTACTCCATTGTATAAAAAAACCCACATCTTCTTTATCCATTTGTCGGTTGATGGGCATTTGGGCTGTTTCCAAGCTTTAGCTATTACAAACTATACCGCTATAAACATGGGTGTGCATATATTGCTGTGGTGTGATGCTTTTAAGTCTTCGGGAAGATACCAAGAAGGGGAATAGTTGGGTCCAATGGAACCTCTAGTTTTAGTTCTTTGAGGAATCTCCACACTGATTTCCACAGTGGTTGCATAGACTACACTCCCACCAACAGTGGAGAAGGGTTCCTCTTCCCCCAAGAGCCTCACCAGCATTTGTTATTGGTTGATTTCTTTTCTTTTCTTTTCTTTTCTTTTCTTTTCTTTCTTTTTTTTTTTTTTAGGTACTGGGAATTGAACTCAGGACCTTGAGCTTGTGAGGCAGGAGCAGTGCACTGAGCTAAATCCCCAGCCCTGTTGATTTCTTGATAGCAGACATTGTTCCTGGAATGAGGTGGAATCTCAGCATTGTTTCAGTTTGCATCTCTCGAATGACCAGTAATGTTGAGCATTTTTTCGTATATTTATTTGCTGTTTCTACTTCTTCATCTAGGAAGTCTATTCATTTCAGATGCCCATTTTTGGACTGAGTCTTTAAATTGGGGGTTATCTTGACTATTTATAAGTCCCCAGATCAGTGCCCTTTAGTACATTCATATTGTTGTGCAATCTTCTCCACAATCCATCCTCCAGAACTATTTATCTTGCACAACTGAAATATCATACCCCAAAAACAATTGCCCCAAACCTTCCTTCCCCCAGCAATAACCATTCTGCTTTCTGACTCTGTGATTTTTGACTACTCTAGGTGCTTCATATGAGTAGAATCATATAGTATTTGTCTTTCTGTGACTAGTTTATTTCATTTAAAATATCCTCAAGCTTCATCTTTGTTGTACCTTACGTCTATAGAAATTCTTTTTTTTTTTTTTTTTTTTTTTTGAGACATGGTCTCACTATGTAGTAGTCCAGGCTGACCTTGAATTCAGCCAGCCCAGGCTGGCCTCGAACTTACGGGATCTTCCTGCCTCAGCCTCTGGAGTGCTGAGATTACAGGCATGATGCACCCCCACACCCGACAGAATTTTCTTTTTTAAGACTAACATCCTATTGTAACTTTTGAATGTATTCCATTTGGCTTATCCATTTAACTGTCTGTGGACACTTGGGTTGCTATTTTTGTTTTGTTTTGTTTTGTTGAGACAGGGTCTCACTATGTAGTTGAGACTGACCTGGAACTCACCATGTAACCCAGGCTGGTCTTGAACTCAGTGATCCTCCTGCCTCAGCCTCCTGAGTGCTGGGATTACAGGCGTGCACCACCATACCCGGCTGGGTTTCTATTGTGAATAATGCTGTTGTGAATATTAGTGCACATATATCTCTTCTCATAGACCTTGCTCACCTACTTCATACTTCTTGCCTGAAGCCATTTCTCAGCCTTCTTAATCTCCCTGGCTTGACCAGCCTCTGCATCTTTCCAACAGCCAGTTGTTGGACACTTCATATCCACAGCAGGGCCCAGCATGGCGGACACTGAGGTGAGCGGGAGCCAGTCCCTGTCCCAAGGAGCCTGGCCAGTTGAGGGCAGACACACTGACTCAGCACCACTGTGTGTGGCACATCATGAGTGCATGAGGAGGACAGGACAGCTGTGAGCTTTGGCCAGAAAGCCGGGGAGAAGTTTTTGAGCTGGGTCATGCATAGGGCAAAGTAGGACCTTTCAGGGTCAAAGGGGTAATCGAGATAGAGGCAACTGGCAAAGCAGATGACAGGCAAGAATCATTTGGGTGTGGACAGAGCCGAAGGTGCCTGGGGAAGTCCTAGAGGATTAGAGCACTTTAGGGACCAAATTGTTACAGTATTTGCATCCACGCTGCCTGCCTTCCAGAGGATAACTCCGGGAGAGCAGGCAGCATCTGAGCCTTCACTGCCTGGAGCCCTGCACCTGGCTGAGCCTGAACTCCCTGTAAACCTTTGCACGAAGACACAGAACGCAGTCATGTTGAGAGTGCCCCCTAGTGGCCTCAACAAGCTCCCACTTCCTCCCTCCAGAGTGGTAGGTTTGAAACTATGCCTGGCATCTCAGGTGTTCTGCGTCCTCTCCTGAGAGGAGAGGATGCTCACTCCAGGCCAGCAAACACTAAGCATTTACTCTATGTGGATCACTGTTATGGGCGTTGGAATAGCGTTTGAGCCATTAATCACCCAGCTCCAGAAGTGGCAGGGAGACAGATATGGACACAAATGAAGATGCCCCATGTGCAGAGTCCTGAGGGCAGGCAGGGTGTGAAGTGGGAAGTGCCAGCCTTCTGGTGCTCTCCATGTGCAGTACTTTGAACTTGGGCTGAGGGATGAGAATGGGGAGGTGGTCTAGGCAGGCGGCAGTGGTGGAGGTGTTCACACCTCATGTGCAGGTGTGCAGTCGTGCACTTGAGGCTCCACACATACCCTCTCCTATCACTCACAGTGCAATTGCTCAAAGGCAGCCCCAACCTCTCCTGGAAGATTAGGCTACAGCACTGCACTGTTAGGGTTGAGTCCTCCTAAGCCTGTTCCAGTTCCTGGGGAACTCACCCGGACATCAGTTTCCTCACCTGGAAAAGAGGGATAATAATAGTACTTTTGTCCCAGGGTCTATGCTGAGCCAATTTGAGATATGTGAAGAATTTCAATAGTGCTTCCCAGGTACTTGACGATACTAAAATTCTAATCATTAGCAGCGCCTGGCCCTTAGGAGCTCAATGTAGTTTGTAAAATAAATTAAAAATTTAATTAAAAGGTCTGGGGATTTAGCTCAGTGATGCCACCACCTGCCTTGCAAGTACAGGGTCTGAGTTAGATGCCTGGTACCCTCCCCCCAAAATACATAATTCTAGCCATCTGTGGGGCACATGCCTGTAATCCTAGCTGAGACAGCCTGTAATCCAGGCTGAGGAAGGTGATTCTAAGTTCAAACCAAGCCTGGGCAACTTAGTGAGACCCTGTCTCAAAATGAAAGGTGTGGGAGAGGGGGTGAGATATATCATGTAAAGGTACAAATTCCCAATGATGAATGTCATCATATTGTATACCTAAAATGCACCAATAAACTTAATAAAAAGGGAGTGGGGCCTGGGGATGTAGTTCAGTGCAAAGACCCTGGGTTCAATCACCAGTAACACATACACACACACACACACACACACACACACACACACGATTATGGAGGGGGTGGACAGTGTAAGTAGCTTAAACAAATGTAGGGGAATGGGTGGTGTGGCCCTTGAAATAAAAGCTGCTGAGCAGGAGCCCAGAGCCTGGGGAGGAGCTGCATTCCTGTGAAGCCAGGACTTCTGTGGGTGTGTGGGGTAGCAGCTGGTAACCTGGGCTGCATCAGGTGGAGCTAAAGGCCAGGGTTTGTGAGGCAAGGTAGTACACACCTGGTGATCCCAGCTACTCAGAGGCAGAAGAATTCCAAGTTTGAGGTCAGCCTGGGCAATTCAGTAATTTAGTGAAAATCTCAAAATAAAAAACAAAGGTTAGGGATATAGCTCAGTGCAAAGGCCCTATATTCAATCCCAGTACTGGAGCTCGGGGTGGGGGTGTAGGGAGCCAGGTTCCAGTCTGTGTGTCCCCTACCTCCAACTGCATGAGGCTGGCTTGTCCTAACTACTGAACAGAACCATAAGTCTATATATTGCCCAGCTGCACTTGGACTTCCCTAATCCCTTCTCTCCAGTGGTCAAACCCAACAGCTCTTCACCCTCAGGACCAGGGCAGTTTCGGGAGTGGTGGGAAAACCTGCCAAGCAGGGTGGCCAGAGCCAGAACCGGTTCGATGGGCCCTCTCATCTCCCCCATGTAACCTCGTCCCAAAGGCAGAAACTCCACAAAACAAACCATTTCATTTTGTTTATTTCTGCAGAGCTGGGGACTGAACACCCAGGGCGTTGGTTGTGCTAGGCAAGCACTTTGTGCCCAAGGTGCACCCCCAGCCTCATACACCTTTTTTACATGGAGTGCACAGGACCTGGGAAGCTGAGGAAGGGCTGGGGTGAGATGTTGGGGAGCCCTGGGGCCAGGGAGTGGAGGATGCAGGATGTAGCTGGGTCTCTTCCAGCTCTCACTGCTTGTCTAAGCTAGGCTGGGGCTGGTTGCAGGAAAACAGCTCAATCTTATGGGAGGAGAAAGACAGCCAGCTTCTACTCCTCTCACCCCCAGACATTAAATAAAGACAAAGCACCCCCTCTTCAGTGCTGGGAATTGAACCCAGGGCCTCGGGCATGCTAAACACACACACTCTACCACTGAGTTTTGTCCCCAGCACCCCAAAAGCAGTTCTTTAGGGGACGGGGATTTAGCTCAAAGGTTCTACCACCTGCCTTGCAAGTGCAAGGTCCCAAGTTCAATTCCCGGTACCCCAAAAAAAGCAGTTCTTTATAGCACGAACTACATAGGGAAGTCCTCCCTCCCAGCCCCACACTGTGCAAAGATGAAGGGGAGCTGTGGCAGATAGGGTCGGTGTCCAATACCACCCCAGTTCTCTTCCCAGAGCCAGAGGGCGGCGGCAGGCAGCTTTGAACACAACAAAAACCCAGCTTTAGGTGGGTCCTTTCATGTCCAATAATGGCTCAGGGGTTTTCTGCTGCTCCCAGACCCTTGAGCTTTCTCAGGAACAGCTGGTGCAAGTTCAGTTGAGGCTTCTCTAGAGAGGAAAAGCCTTGCTTCTGAGGCACAAAAGCCTGCAAAACAGGCAGAAGGAGTCTGGTCCCCAAGTGTCCCCAGTCTTCACAAGCAGGAAGTGCCCTTGGCTCAGAGTGGCCGGGTCGTGTGATTATAGACCAGGTGTTCTGTGTCTTCGGTGGCGGAGACAGTGGAGCTCGCGGGCGTGGGTGGCGGGTGGTGGCGGTGTCTTTGGAAGTCCTTTCTCTGGTTCTTGAAGAAGCAGTAACCCAAGATGGCTATCACCACTATGATGCAGGTGACCAGGAGTACAGCAACGGTCACTTCCACCGAGCCTGGGGGCAGAAGGGACAGAATGAGGGCTCCTAAGTCCTGCCTGGTTCTGATGTCCACCCACTTCGAAGGGAGGGACCGAGGTGAACAGGTGCCAAATGTGGAAGCACATGGGCACCCTGCTCACCGGTAGCTTAAAGGCTGCCCCATGAGCCCAGAGGGAAGGCAGTGGGTCTCAGATCCAGCTCCAAGTTGCTCTGCTTCAAGGGGCTTGAGGCAAAGCCTGGGACTCTGCAGATAAGACACCTGGCACGTCCCTTGCTGTACTTCCACCCCTCACTATTTCATTGTGGCATGATGTCCCTATGGGGAACCTCAGGGTCCCTCTCAACATGGCTCAGGCAGCCACAGCCAGTCACCTTGGCAGTGGGGCAGACCCAAAGCTTACCTACACTGGGAATGGAGTTCTCTCGCCGCAGGCCAAAAACATCCTTCTCTGCAAAATGATGGAGGAGAGAGACAGTCAGCTCTAAGGGCTGAGGTTCGGCTGCTCCTGTGCCCCGGCCACTCTGCACCATCCTCTTACAACCAGTGCAGGCACTCAGGATGGAGGGGTGACCACCCAGATGCGGACAAAGCAGGCTTTCCTTCCACACACCCCAGCCCACCACCAGGCTCACTGGAGATGCCTCGGCAGGACTCCAGACACTGCTGTTCTTCATCAAAGTTATTCTTGTTGCCATAACAACCACCGTAGGTAAAGCGGGCACAGCGTTCGCTGAAGGGGTTGTAGTACCAGCGTGGGATGTTCTCCTGGCAGAGCCCTGTGTCTGGCAGGTCCACACAGTGCCCTGGGGTAGGGGCAAGCAGGGGGGTAAGTGAGCCCCCAGGGCCGCCAGACGCACCTGGCTGCTATTCCACTCTTCTGGGAGCCCAGAAACACTCCCCCCACCCCCACTTATGCTACAAAGACAAATCCAGGACACTAACATTTATTCCTCCGTCAATTTGTTTTAACTTTTCTCTCTGTGTTAAGGTCTGTTTTCTATCACTGAGTGATTGACAACTTTTTTTTTTGGTACTGGGGATCGAACTCGGGTCATTGTGCTTGCGAGTCAGGCAGCAGAACCACTGAGCTAAATCCCCGGCCCTTTGTTTTGTTTTTTGAGTAACAGCGATTGCTTCTTTTTTTTTTGGTACTGGGGCTTGAACTCAGGACCTTACACTTTTGAAGCAGGCGGCGGAACTACTGCGCTAAATCGCTAGCCCTGTTTTGTGTTTTTGAGACAGGAGTATGCTGTGTAGTTCTGGCTGGCCTTGAACTCAGCTGCAATTTTTTCCCCTCAGCCTCCCTATATAGTCCAGGCAGGCCTTGAACTCACTATGAGTCACCACACCCAGTTCACAGTTTTAATAGACGATGGGCCTCAGGGTCTGAGTCTGAGCCTTGGTAGTTAAAATGTCCAGTGAAAATGTATTAACAGTGTTTTGTTATACTTATTTTTATCATTAGTTTCAACTTGTGGCAAGTCAGCAATTTTCCACTTACAGCACTGGCCCGGCGTGGTGGTGCATGCCTATAAACCCAGCACTGTTGAGGCCGAGGGAAGAGGATTGTTGCAAGTTTGAGGCCAGCTTGGGCTACATAATGAGTTCAAGGCCAGCCTGAACTACATAGCAAGGCTCTGTCTCAAAACACCAAACTAAATCAAACAACCCCAAAACCATTTATGGCACTGATGTGAAATGTCCTTCTCAGCACGTTAAGTTAAAAAGTGATTACACAATACACATGGGCATGGCGAGAGTCACCAAGTTGTCCAACTGACTGTGATGTTTGGGAAATGGAGCCACAGAAGGTAGCTAGGGAGCCCCTCCCCCATGGTGCCAGCATCCTGGAGTGGAGGTGTCCCCACCCAGAGGCCTCACCTTTTTCACTGGGGAAATGAATGTTCTGGAGCTCGTCAAAGCCAGTGCTATCTGCAGAGATGAAAGGTCAGGGGTTTGAGCCCAAGAGGGGTTTCTCCAGGGTTCCAGGGTCAGGTCCTCCCCTCGGGTTACCCGCCCTTTCTCCAACCCCAGGCCTCACATTTCTCACAGGCGGCCTCGTCCGAGCTGTCAGGGCAGTCTGGGGTGTCGTCACATTCCAGGAAGCTGTCGATGCAGCAGCCATCGCTGCAGCGGAACTGGGTGGGCTGGCAGCTGCCTGAGCACACTGGGAAGGGGCGTAATGGTAGGGGGTGAGCTCAGGCTTGGGCAGAGATGGTGCCAAGGGCCCATAGTCTACCTGGGCGTCTCCACCACCCCGGCTCCTCCTCCTTGTAGACTGGGCACATCTGATGGGAAGGTGTGAGGTGGGTAGGGGTGGGGGCTTTGTGGTGAGGACAGGGCAGAGGCAGGCTGGTAGGGGACCTAGCAAGGTGAAACAGGGAAGAAGAAGCCCACCTGGATGCTGCCTTTCCATGGAGGGGCCTGCAGAGAAAGAAAAAGAAGTGAGGGTGGGCTCCCCAGGGATGAAAGTGGTGGGAATGGGGACTGCCCCACTGCCTCCCCGCCCGGTGAGGAGACATCCGTCCTAGGGAGTCACTTGAGCCCAGGTTGCTGCTCAAAGCCCACCTTGCACATCCTGGCAGGCCAGCATGCACTCCTTCTCCCGAAGGTAGTTGTTCTTGTTACCCAAGCAACCTCCGTAAATGAACCTCTTGCAGATCTGCTCTTTGGAGTCATAGTACCAGCGGGGAAAGGAGCCCCGGCAGCGGCCCACTTTGCTGGAGGCCAGGCAGTAGTCTGGAGAGGGCAGAGCAGGTGAGGGCCTGCAGGGCTGTGGCAGGGTGGGGAAGTTGGGAGTGCCAGGTGCCACCTGCCCGCCCTGCACCTTCTGTCTGCTTGGTGGACAGCACAGTGACCGTGACGTTTGCTGTGCTCTGGGGATCATCTGAGCCGGCTGCAGTCAGCTGGAACAGGTAGATGCCTTCCTTGAGTCCCCACAGCTCCACCTGGTCCGGCTTCTTCCTCTACACACAGGACTGGCCATCAGGCTGGGCAGCCTCCATGCCCCGGGCCACCCCAGGCCTTCTCAGCCACTGCCACTTGACTGGCTCCCCACCTTCTCTCCACCCCACCCACCCGGAGCAGGCAGAGGGGAGGGGAAGGGCACCAGCCAGTGTCTCACCTCTATGCTGAGGCCGGAGTCACCCTGAAGTAGGTGCCAGTCTGTGTTGCCCACATCCTTCAGCACCAGGGGCTCCTGGGGTTGTACCTTCAGGTCTATGCCCACCCAGGCCCTGGGGATCTGGGCCCCTGAAGAAGGTAAGGGAAGTGAGCTCTCACTGAATGGACTAAATCTCTCCTAGGAAAGAAGTGGAGTGGTGACAGCACAAACTTCACTTGGGAGCCAGGCAAAGTGGTGCACACCTGTAATCCCAGCACTTGGCTGAGGCAGGAGGACTGCCAATTTTAAGCCCAGCCTCAGCAATTTAGCGACATAGCAAAACCCTATCTCAAAATACAAAATAAAGGACCAGAGATTTAGCTGAGTGGCACCATACCTGCCTTGCAAGCACAAGGTCCTGAATTCGATCCCTGGTACCAGGAAAAAAGAAAAGTAAAATAAAAAAGGCCTGAGGATTGTTGCTCAGTGCAAAGACCCTGGGTTGACTGGAGAGAAAGAAAAAAAAAAGTTAAAAGTAAACTGGGCATAGTGGCCACAGCTTTCCCAGCTCAGAGTGAGGGGATGGAGCAGGGAGATGGCACAAAGCAGGACTCCTGTCTGGACCAGGTTGGATGGTAAGCCCTTGGAGCCCATGAATGGGACCCTATTTGGAAAGAGTCTTTACAGAAGTAATTGAGTAAAGGATTTCCAGATAAGAGCAACCTGGATTAGCTGAGTAGGTCCTAAATCCAATGACAAATGACCTTATACAAACAGATCAGGGCCAGGGATTTAGCTCTGCTGCCTGCCTCAAAAGCGCAAGGACCCCAGTTCAATCCCCAGTACCAAAAAACAAACAAAAATAACCCAGAAGATCAGACTGAAAGAAAATACCATAAGGAAAGGCAGAGACCCAGGGATGAGGCCACAAGGCAGGGACACCAGAAGCAGAAAGAGGAAGGAAGGGCTTCATTTCTGGAGTCCTGGGAGCAGTGTGTCCTTTTTTTTTTTTTTTTTGGTTTTTTGAGACAGGGTCTCACTCTGTAGTTGAGACTGACCTGGAACTCACTATGTAGCCCAGGCTACTCTCGAACTCACAGTGATCCTCGTGCCTCAGCCTCCTGAGCGCTAGGATTACAGGTGCAGACCACCACGCTCAACCTTGGTAACATTTTGACATTACACTCTGGCCTCTAGAACTCCCAGAACTGTGAGAAAACATATCAGTTCATGGTAATCTGTTACCACAGCCCTAGGAAATTAATATAGAGCTTAGCAGGACTACAGTCCAGGGGTCAGAAGAGATCTAACAACAGGAAACAGGGTGTATATAAAACAAGACAGTGGACACTGTGTGAAGGCCACCACAGGCTAGGGGAAGAATAATGTCTGGAGAAGGACTTTTGGGGGGGCGGTACTGGTAACTGAACCTTGGGCCTTCACGGGGAGCTATATCCTCTAGTCCTTTTTATTTTTGAGATAAAGTCTTACTAAACCACTGAATTGCCCAGGCTGGGCTTGAATCCTTCTGCCTCAGCCTCCCAGAGTGCTGAGATAATACATGTCCATCACCCAGTTAGGGAGAATTGAAGATGTTTTTGTTTTTGCTGCGTTGGCAGTGAAGAATATGGGATGCAGCTTATGACAACAGAAAACATGCAAAACCAAAGCAAGCAGTTAGATTTGTGAGGCTAGTTAGATGGACAGGAAGGAGACCAGCCAGGCTGGGACCAGTTTCAGAGTGTCCTAGGTGCCAGGCCAGAGCATTTGGACAGAGCAGGAGTAACATTCAGATATTAAATGACTAGTTGTACAGAGGGATAGACACTGGCTGCAAGCACAGGAATAGAATCCCGGAGGCCTGGCTCAGCAGACAGCAACCTCCAAGATGTAGATCCAGGTCCACACAGCCTAATGCAGGGCCCAGAACTGCAAGCGGGGAGTTCCTTCTTGGGCAGCAGCTGTTCGCACTCCTGTTTGGCAGGGTTTCTGTACATGAGGCTGGCCGGGGGAGCGGTTCAGGGCAGATGTAACAGGAAGGGTTGGACTCACAGGGCATCCAGGGGAATGGAAAGGAAGGAGGAAGTGAAAGATGGCGGCAGCCACATGTCTCAGGCCTCTTAGGACTGGGGAGGAAGAATACAGGCACAGGCAAAAGGGAAACCAGCTTTAGAGGGAAGGTGTGGGTTCCCCCACGGAGAAGCTGGATTTCAGACAAGAAAGATCCCCATCTGTATAGACAGCACACTATGGCCTATGTACTGAATCTGTTGTTTTTTAAGTGGATGAAGGAATAATCTTTTGGGACATGTTAAAAATATATTGGGCTGGGGATTTAGTTCAGTGGTGCCACCACCTGCCTCACAAGCACAAGGTCCTGAGTTCAATCCCCGGTATAAAAATAATACACATGCGCACACACATACAAATATGTTCAGAGCTATGGTGTGGCTCAGTGTTAGAACATTCACCTAGCATGTACAAGGCGCCAGTAAAAAAGAGACATCTGCAAGCAGGAGTACAGCTGTCTGTGGTCACTTTCACATTACCACAGTAGAGCAGTTGTGACAAAGACTTGTATCATACAAAGCCTAAAATACTATCGAGATGTCCACAGAAAGTTTGCTGACTACTGGTCCCCACCACCAACTTGCATAGCCACCCACCATACCTGTGTCCTTACCCTGGTTTCAGATGAGAAAACTGACACCTGACAGGTTAAACAAGTTGACCAGGATCACGGCTGTGTTTCTAAACAGTGCATCTGGGATTTGAACCCGGGTCTTTGTGACTTCATTTCTTGTGCTTGATCTAAAACATCAAGCTACAGGTCACCACCTGCTCAGAGGTGTGGTTTCAATTGCTTTTATCATCTTGCTTTGTTTTTTTAAGCTTATGTAATACATGTACATAATATAAAATCTGAAAGGTACAAACATGTAGCGAAAATGAAGTCCTGCTTTCCTCCCTTTTTTCTGAGACGGTGTCTCTCTGTGTAGTCCACACCAGTCTTGAACTCACTATGTAGCCCAGGCTGGCCTCGAATTGTTCTTTACCACAAAAGCATCCACTTTTACCACTTTGTATGTGTATGTGTGTGAGTGTGAACATCAAGATAGTATTTATTTGAGCTGGGCATGCTTGTGCATGCCTATAATCCCAGCACCCTGGGAGAGTAAGGCGGGAAGATCGAAAGTTTAAGCCTAACCTGGCAATTCAGGGAGACCCTCTCTCAAAACAAAAAATAAAAAGGGTGGGGGATGTAGCTCAGTGGTAGAGTGCCCCTGGGCTCAATGCCCAATACCCACCCTGACAAAGATAGTATCTGAATTCACAGCTTTCCTTCCTAAACCAGGCCACCTTCGTTATTGGTACTAAAACAGCAAAACAAGTGTTCACTAGGGGATATGCCACCACACACTGAGATGGTTTCCAAGTCTTCACTACCACAGACAACACTACAGTAAGTTCTTGTACACATTTGTAAGCTAAGTCTTTTTTTTTTTTTTTTTTTTTTTTTTTTTTTTTTTTTTTTTTTTTTTTTTTTTTTTTTTTTTTTTGGTACTGGGAATTGAACTCAGATCCTTGAGCTTGCAAGGCAGGCGCCGGAACCACTGAGCTAAATCCCCGGCCCAGAAACTAAGTCTTCAGATGAATTCATACAAGTGGAAAAGTGTCAAGGGTGACATTCTTAAAGTTGTGGCCAAAGTGCAGAGGGTTCAAGTGTGTGAGCATGAAGCACGAGGAGAAGGTAAAGTGATAAGGACAGCTAGCAGGAGGCTGAGTCACAGGATGAGGCAAAGTAGAGCCCATGGGGTGCTCATGAAGGTGGTCACACAGATGAGAAGACCAGGACACATGACTGAGGAAGGTAGCTCCAGAAGGGAGAGGTTTCTCAGGGAAACGTGTGAAATGGCCTGGGGACCTATAAAACCGAGAGAATGGAAACTGCTAGCCTGGGATGTAGGGAAAAGAAAGCAGGGAGAGCAGGAGGAATGGAAAGTGACTGTCTAGCAGCAACCCAGCCCAGGGCCTTGGCCAGCAATCAGGAGAATACCCCATAAGGCAAGCCGAGGGGACAGAAGCTGGGAGGGAAGGTTCTTCCTTCCTTGTACTTTGTGTAGAAAACCAGCTCAAGGAGGGAAAGGAGACGAGACAGAGGAACATCTCACCCTCACCTCTGCCCCCAGGTGGAAGGGCAGGCAGTGACACACCTGGGGCTCAATCAGGAATGTCCCTTCTCCTCAGCTCTGTCCTCATCAAGCCTCATGCCCCAGGACCAGGGAGCAGTTGCCCTGCTCTGCCACTCCCCAAAGAGCAAAGGGCTAGAATAGCAATAAAACTTCTCAGCTGCCAGGCCTCAGGACATCTTTGCACTCTGGAAAGAGTGGGAGGGGACAAAAGGGACCAGCAACTAGGCCTGTTCCAGGCATCTGAACCAGTGTGGCCCAGCCACAGGCTGAGAAGATGAAACAAAGCCAAGTACCCTGAGGAGGACTTCTCTCCCCAACACAAGGATCAAAGGACCATACACTACCTGGACTGCTTTCATCCCCAGCCTCTGCCTTACCAGCTGACAGTGGAGCCTCAGACTCTCACAGGTTCCTCCACTTCCCACAGGCCTGGAGCACCACAAGGGCCTAGAATGGCCTGGGGCTCGGGCTAAGCCCCACCGAACTCCTCAGATGTCCCCAAAGCCACCTGTCCTGTGCCAAAAGCCAGTCCTGGTGGTTTCCAAATGAGGCAAGTGGCCCCTATCCAGCTTAGCTCCCAGACCACAATCCAGTTTCAGGCTCTGTCCCTTCAGGTCTCCTATGGGACCTCTGTCAGCACAGGAAGGACACCCAATAGCAGTCACTGTCACTTGGTGTCATCACCACCTACTTATCTGCGGCTTCCTTGTGGAATAGGCTCCAGCCCAGGCCTAGTGGGGCTCCATGGCCCAGCCTAGACTTCAACCCCACTTCCCCTCCTCAGAGACCCAGGAGAGCTACTGGAAGGCTAAAGAGCAGAGAGGATTATTATCCTGGGAGACATAATGTCCCAGGAAAAGGCTAGAGAGGAAAGTCCCTTCTCCACTTTCCAAACTAAGCCACCTCAAACTGCCCCAGCCAGTCTGATCCCTTGGACTCCCCAGTCTTAGTTTCTGATATCTGCTTGTCATGGATTAGGTGTCTCCTGGAAAGGTGATCTCCTGTGAAAGAGATCACAGGGCTTTTGGAGCCCCTATCCTCAAGTGTGGTGAATCCTAGGCTTACCATTGAGAGCAGTGTTATCCTGGGCAAATTATTTAAATGAAAGATCTCTTTCCTAATCTAAAAAGCAGATTAAGGCCACGAAATTAGCTCAGTGGCGCTGTGCTTGCCTTCTCATAAGCACAAGGTTCTAAGTTCGATTCCTGGTGTCAACGGGGGGGAAGCAAAGGGCTGGGGATTTAGCTCAGTGGTTCTGCCACTTGCCTTGCAAGTACAAGGTCCTGAGTTTGATTCCTGGTACCAAAAAAGAAAAAAAGCAGATGACTACTAACAGTACCCTTTTCAGAGACTATTGACCTGAGGCCTGGCAGGATGCGTGTTATAGTCAGTGAACTGTATGAGGCTAGCAGAGGTTACTGGCTGTGACCTACTCTGGCCTTGGCCCCAGCTGCCTGCTGATGCTAGGAGGAATGGGGAGGAGCCCTAGCCCCCACTTCCCCTTGTGCCTGAAAGTAAACAGGAGAGCAGACTCCTCAGTTACCAGACCCTGCTGAGTAGGGAGAGCCCTGGTCTGGCTCATGTGCATTAGCACACACACCTGCCTGGACAGGTGACATCCCTCCCCTACCAGGTACACATACCAGCAGGCTGACTCACACAGCAGCCTTCCTTCACACACACACACAAACCCCCCCCCCAGCCTCTGGCTACTGTCCCCACAATGCCATTGCCCATCTTGGGTCAACCTCAGACTAGACTTGTTCTTCAGTCTCTACCATCTGGCTGTTTTTCCCAAACAATCTGTTCCCACAACAGAAGAACACTCAGCAGGCCTTAGTCCACAGAGTGGAAGAGACTAGCCAGGCCCACCTGCCCAAGCCTCAAGATGCCTACAAAGTGTACGGCTAGCGCCTTTCTGATCACCAGTCTGCTGCATCGCGACAACTCATGGTCTGACTCAGCCTATCAGGGCCAGAGGTGGAATCTGGGGAGATGCTTCCTTTCTCCCATACAGCAGCCCAGAGCTAGGCCTCCCAGTGAGCACCAGCCCAACACAAGGGCACATCCTGAATCAGGGGCCAGAGTCTCACAGATGTGCCCCTCCCTCATTACATCCCTCTCTTGTTTACTGTTTATACTGCCTACTTCAGAAGAGTCAGGATGGAAGTGGACTTTCCACCCTCACTTTGTGTGTGTATGTGTGTGTGTGTGTGCTTGCCCACGCAGCACAAGGTATTGAATCCAAGGCCATCACACCAAGCTACATCCCCCAGCCCTTTTTTATTTTGAGACAGGGTCTCTTTGGCTAAATCACAAGTTGCCCAGTCTGCGTTCATATTTTCAATCCTCTTGCCTCAGCTTCCAACAATACTGGGATTACAGGCATTTGCCACCACAACTGGCTCCTAACTCCTCTCTGACGCTCCCCTCTCTCAAAGACCCCCAAACTAGCCCTCTTTCCGAGAGGCTCCCGTTCCATCCCTGATGACACCCTCTTCCATACCTCCAAAGCCCTGTTTCTGCAGATCTCTGTAGGAACGGTAAACTTCCTGCGTGAGGTAGTTGATGAAGCCGTCCCTGCGAGCAAACTTGCACACAAAGTTCTGCTCGTACAGGCAGTTCATGAGGAAGCAGGCGGAGATGGCGTCCTCCCCGCGGTCGGGCTGCAGCTCCACCAGCGCCAGGTTGCAGTTCTGGGTGGTGCAGCAGGCGCGTACGCAGTTCCAGCCCCGCTGCACCTCGGGGGAGCCCAGGAAGGTAGCCCCGTTGCTGACCGAGGCCTCGGTATCCAGCACGAAGTTAGGGACCCCGCTGGTAAAGCCGGCCAGGCAGGAGTCTCCGGTGGGCAGCTCAGGGGGCGCGGGCGGCAATCCGGCCTCTGCGCCCCAGAGCCCGAGGGCGCACAGGAGCCACACGG